TGCTATGTGGTATTTGGAGAACAAATATAGAAGTACCCTCTCAAAGGCAGAGCTATAATAAAAACAATTTGTTCATCTTTTAGACAAATATTTATCGAACAGTTATAATACTATGTGCCAGGTGCCTTTCTAGGTTGTAGCGATATTGTAGTAAATATAAATCTCCCTTCAAGGGTCTTAATATTTTACTCATAAGGACATGGTTTGCAATGAAATACCCATGTCTGGCACACTATATCAGGAGTGCCAAGAGTCAGGACTTCTCCTGGGTCACATACAGCTTAGACTTGAAGGGAAGTTGCTAATCCAGAGTCCACACAGTGACAAAGTCCTGCAAGCTAACATGAGCTAAATTCCTTTAATAGGTTAGAAATTAAAAGATGCATTTAATTATCAGTCCTCCAGTGCTTCTGTTCTATTTTGGCATTTATGAGAGCTAATAAACTTCCCAGGTTTCTGCGTATTTAACTGGCAGTAATCTATAATTGACTGAATTAATTAAATAAAACAATTGTCAAGTGCTAAAAATAATAAGAAAGAACTTTAATGAAACAGTGCATAATGCTGTAGAGCTGTGCCAAGGAGTGCAGGCAATCGATTTGAAGATTTTCCCCCTGATAAAGTATGTATGTGCGTGTGTACTCAAACACACTTGTGGTTAATGTATTATTCTGTAAAGTGTGGCATATACCTAATGTTCAAAGTAATGGAAAATAAATTATTAGAAATTTAGTCTTTTCCAATACCTTGAATGTGTAATACTATTTAATGCTTAAACTTAGAGATAATGACAGCATCTTCACATTCTAAACACCCTGTGATTATTAATCAGAGTATCTTGATTGTTAGAAGGGGGGAAAGATGTTATGCTAAAGTTACTTGAAATTCAACATATTCATGCAATCTATAAAAATAAAAGTGTAATATGCTAATTAGACCAGACAGCTGAACAACCTTCTGGACATTCTTCCGGATGAAGCTGCTGCAGCAGGGGCTGAGGCAGAGGCGGTTAGGGGCATCAGCCAGGCAGGCAGAGTGGTTAGGGCCGATCAGGCAGGCAGGCAGGCAGGAGAGAGGTTAGGAGCCAGTGGTCCCAGATTGTGAGAGGTATGTCCGACTGCCGGTTTAGGCTCTTTCCTGCAGTGATCCCTGCAGGTTCGGCAGTGGGACATCCCCCGAAGTGTCCTGGGTTTCGAAAGGGTGCAGGCTGGGCTGAGCGACCCATCTTTAAATAATCTTTCATTGCTTTCTTACGTGTGCGTGTGTTCTATGAGTCTTGGTCTACAGGATGTTTGCTACTTTCATCCATAAGTGCTTACTGGGTACCAGACCCCAGGTTGATATTTTCAACCATGGTGTTGGAAAAAGAGCTATACTTTTACAGAGGAAAGGGTAAATTCTAGTTTAACTAAGTGGCTCTTCATTTCTGAAGCCCAGGAATTTCTTTTTTAAAGGATCAAAGCAGCAAATGAGGAGCTTCAGCAATTGGGAAAGTGAGGACAAAGAGTAGTATGCTGGAGATTTTGAGGAGGGTGTGCCATTTGTGAATAGTGTTAGGGCAGGAACTGCCTGTTGGAGTGTTGTGATAAGATGTGATGGGATGTGATAGGGATACCGGAATATGAAGTTGATAAAACAGGACTGTTTACTTATGATTTAGCACTACCATGTTCTAGCTATATAATCCAAATACCCCAGAATCTCCCTGGAACTTCTCTGAAAAATAAAATTAGAGTTATGGGAGCATGACTCATCAGAGCTTAAACTATGAAGATGGCCAACACCGTCTGTATCTGACCTTCTCTGGCATAAGGTAATCGGACACCTTCTTGTGCCAGATATATGGAACACATTGAAGATTTGATGATTCCAATGTCTTCTCACACTTGCTGTATCTGAAGAGACGGGAAAATCGG